TTTATGATATGTTGAATGAATCTTAAAATAATTATGGTTTAGATGGATCGTTCCGATTTACACAAGGGAAATACTAGCCATTAATTTATATATTATGTTACATAATAAGTCCATTTGTGTTGCTTTCGAGCACTTCCGGCACTCAACAGAAATGGTTAACAAATATTTTGATATTAGAATTAAGAATGTCAAACAACATTGTCAAACCATGGATCTTGCTTTTATACACACATAAAGAGAAATTTGTAACAATATGAGATATATGTCGTTGTTCAAGTTATTGATTTATCTATTTAATTTGCATGCATGTTGTAAACAAAAACAATTGTTCTTATGAATATTTTAAATAAAATTTTATAGGAGCATTTAAAGACACACATGTCGATGCACGTGTAGACAACAATTACAAAATTGCATATCAAACATAAATCTGCAACACAAAATATCATAGCAGTTTGTGACTTCAAAATATATTTTATATTCTTAATGGCTAGATGAGAAATAAATGCTCATAATAGTCACATATTTAAATTTGTTACTCGACGAAGTGAATACCAATTTCCAATGGCTTAACCGGTGAAGGATGTGCATTTTGCATTGATATATTAAAAGGGCCACAAAAAATGTACAAAACTAAGCCATGTGGGCTTCAAAAGCGTAACATCTGTCCTAGTCAATGATAGCCCGAAGGCCACACGGTTCAAATCCAAAAAGAAACAAAAAACTATCAGATAAGGCTTGTCGAGCACAGAAATAAGCAGCCTTATTATGTGAAAGAGGAACAAAAAGAAATTGATATGAAGCCTTTGTTCAATTATTAAGGATTAATTGATGTTTATTTTCTCTTTCATGTTTTGATATTTTAATTTTAAAGTCAAAACTTTAGAGATACATATTTTTCATTATAAGTGTTTTCATCTGGTTATGAACCATAAAATTTTTTTGTTATTTTTTATTGCATATGTAATCTACTTTGTTAATTAAAAGCATAATATATTATAATCTAAGAAAAACTAAATTAAAAGCCATTCATACTGGAATAAGTAGGAATCCAGCGGTGGTGGTGTCAGCAAAGGTCGGAGGAGAGGACACAACTGGAAAGAAAAATACGACACTTCGTTCTAGCTAAGGCCGAAAAAGTTGGACCCGAAGCGGTGGTGGCATCAACGGGGTAGTATAGGGACAGAGAAGGGTTGGAGGTAGCATGATAGTTTAGAAAAGGGCATATACAAGCATGGGTGGTGGCTGATTTGATAGTTAGAGTGGGCTACAGAGACAAGGGGCGAGGGGGTGGGTGGGGAGGCAAGGGAAGGTGTTGGGCGTTGATGGTGGGTGACCTTGACAGCAAGTAGGGCGGCCTGGAGTGGCCGACAGAATGAAGGTTGGTGGTCGGAGAGCTGGACAACAAAGTCCGACGCTTGAGGAAGGGAGTATAGAGTGCTGATAGGTGGATGAGCGGGCCGCAACGGAGGGAGGAGGTTCTGAAGGTGGCCAACAACTAAGGAGAAGGGAACATGAGAATTGGAAAAGGGGATTGAAAAAGATACAACACCACCTTGAAGTAGGATACAACTAAAGCATCACCACCTCCTCAAATACAACCTTAACAAAAGAGAAAAGACTCCAAAAAGAGAAAACAGAACACAACAACAAGTAAAAATTAAACCCTACAACCAGAAAATAGCAATTTATAGACTCTCATTGGAAAAGAACGAGAAAGAGCTAAGGAAAGTCCCACAAAAAAGGAAGGGGGTGGGGAGGCAAGAATAATCCATTAAATAGTCATTAAAGACTTCTCATATGGAGAAGAGCGCATAAAGAAGAGGATATGAGGGGTGGTAGTCCCGCTTCGTATAGAAATGGATCGATTGATACTGTGTAAATTATTGTCAGCCGTTGAACCGGTTGGGGCCTATAGCGCCGGCGTCAGCAAGTACTTCAAGAGATTTGTACTGCCACTGTGGCACAAAGTGTTTTGAACACACATCAAGAAATGTAGCAGCTATGAAAAAAGATTTTATGATTGTCCCAGAAATAAAACATTTGAAGATTGCAAGTTTTTTCCATGGATCGACGATAGAGAGAAGTTCGCTCCGAATAGTGACCAAGTCAAGAGAGATGTTATGAACAAAATTATCTCAAGGACTTGATCGTCTGGAGAAAAAAACGAACGCCATTATAACAATACTGATTGATTTTTGTAGTTTTTATTGTGATATTATGCGCAAAATGTGATTTAATATTGATGTATTCAAGAAATTAGACTCATGATATATTTTATGTACTATAAAAGTTATTTTATTACGTGGTTATAATTATTTTGAAAACTACAATCACTCAACTAATTTACATCTATAAGAGCATAATTGTCTTTTTTATCAGAAATAACTACAGTACAACAAATTATCCAAATAGACTGACTGTATTTCCAACACTAGCTTTCTGACAGCAACTGTGAAGTTGTTTTCCTAGAAAGCAGCTTCATAACTGCTTCCTCAAAAAACAACAACCGCTCCAAATGAGATTCCTCCATGATACCATGGAAGTTGCCTCACATGATCCCACAAACCAACTATCATGGGAATGAAGTAGAATGGCTCCATTATTGAAAATTCCAACAACGCGATTCTCCCGTATTTTTGCTACTGCCAGCTCCTGTGGGTCCCCTTTTTATATTATTTTAATTAGAATTATTGTATTTTGCTGGAGAATTATTAATATGTTGTTATTTTTTTGGCTTTAAAGTCTTTTGCTTTGATATTGTGCATTTTAAGATTGTATTTTCTAATTTTCTGCAATAAGGAGCGGTGTATTATCTTTCTTTTGCAAGTGGTATGTCAGTAACTTGTTCAAACACATGTGATGTCGTGCATCATGGGAAATGTCGTTTCATGGTTTCTTTTTTTTTTGCCCGGATAGCTATCAAATGTCTTCTATCCCTTTCCAAATGTCGTATACCTCACATATTCTCATGCTCTCGGTATTTCATAATCATGTCCCTGCTAAATCCACTTCTTAAATATCTTAGAGGAACCCTATAACAGTTCATTTGATATCAGAGCTTGATAAATATTAATTTAGGAATTTGTCTATTTTCAAACTCATAAACCTAAGATCCACATAACCTAATCTGGTACCTCCACCAACATCATCCCTACACCTTCCATCCTTAACCTTAACCCTAAACCATCATCCCATTTTTAGCCGAAACCTTAATTGGATAAGAGAGCCATCATGCAGCCAAGGAGAAAGTCTCCACTAGATGTTCAAGAGCTTACCATAGTAGATATGCAGCAAGAAATCATCCAATTGCATCGGAGACTCATTGATTTTGAGAGAAGGGAACATAAGAAAGTCACTCATAACAACAATGATGACCACGAAGATAGAGAAGATTAAGAAAAAACTTTTCACCAAAAAGCTTTAAGTGATGAAGAACAATCCATTGGCTAGTGGATTGAGACCATTCATTAACAACATGGTGCCATTACAACTCTATTAGATGTTACAGTATTTTCAAACCTTAGGCCTAGATATGGAGACAACACAATAGCATCAAATTTGCACTACCCTTTAAATAGGGATCGACTATTGGGTCGGGCAGCAGAAGCAAATTGACCAGAGTACTTAGACCTGAGTACTGGACCAACACCCAAAAACATTTTTAAGTATGAAGTATTTCAAGTGTCTTGGATACGAGCACATTGTATTCAATTGCCCGAACAGGAGGTTATTTTTTTTTACTGAGCAGGGTGCAATGGAGAAAGCTGTTGTGAATATATGATATTAACTCATATGGTGAACAAATTGAGCCTTATTATCTAAAAGGATTCCTAACTATATTCCTAGACCTGAATAAAGTAAATGAGATCAATGTCTAACAAAATATGCCTATTAAAATTTTCAATTAGAGATAAATAGAAGGATTAGGAGTGGTATGATATTGTGTTCATGAATGTTTGTCAAATTCTACTTGGTAGACCATGATAGTATGATAGTACACTTGATGGACATAAAAATACCTACTTGTTTGTCAAAGACAAGAAGAGTATTATACTTCTATCATTGAAGGAGTCAGTAGTGATGAGTTCTCAGGCAGACATAAAAATAGTGTCTCGTGTTATATTCTATAGCTATGAGAGAGGCACCAATGAGAGTAGCCATGAAGATGCTAGAATGTAGTAATATGAAGGAACAATAGTGAAGTAATTTGATCTTTATTGAAGGAATTTCGAGATGCTTTGACTAACCTCCTGCCACTTGGATTAGCACCCTATGAGAGATTCAATATGCTATAAATCTTATTCCAAGATTAGTGCGCTCCCCAATTGATCGACTTATAGGATGTGACTAGCCTAGTACAAGAAGTTACAAAATTAGATTATATACTTGACGACTAGAGGATTTGTCTGTGAGAGTACTAACCCAAGCACAGTTTCAACTCTGATTGTACAAAAGAAGAATTGTTCTTGACACGTGTATTAATGGTAGGGTCGTCAACACGATAACTATCAAGTACTATTTTCCCATTCCGAGATTAGACGATTTGTCTGAGCATTTACATGAAGACAGTGTCTTCTCTAAGATTATTTGTGAAGTAGTTATCATCAAATCAAGGTAAGACTAGGAGATGAGGGGAAGACAACCTTCAAGGCATGAGATCAATTATATACAATCATGCCATTTGGCTTGTCCTTAAAAAATTAGATCTAAGGTTAATCTCACCTTACGACCTAGGAAACCAATCCCATGATACTAGTTCCATATATGTATTCAAGGTTTCGTGTTTCTGCCTTTCTCCTAACTAGTTGCTTGACATTCACCTTACAGATGTAACAAATACAGCAATAACAGTACATTAAGAGAGAAAATGAAGAAACAGCAGCTAAAGAGTACTAGCTAGAAGCTGTGTAAGAGAAACAAGAGCAACGTTGAGTGCATAATAAGTTTAGAATACCGTAACATGAAAGGTAATATATATTAGAAGACACTTGACATACCAACAACATCACATTAAAAACTGCTCTTCCGGAAGAAAGATGAGTTTCAATCTCATGCTGCATGTCTGAGTCTGTACAATGATACGAGCAAAGTCAAAGAGCAATCTAAAGTTCGGAAGAATAAACTTTGGTCAAACCAAGGAAAACAAAAAATGTATATATGTGGTAAATAAAAGTCTTAGTATTGTTATATATTGCAGCACTGTATTTAAGAGCACAAAGCTAAGGACCAATGAAAAATCAGTGAAGATTCTACTTGAAAAAAATAATTGAAACCTGACCGGCTCAATAAATGTACAAATATTATCGAAAAGTTACTAATGGAAAATATGTAAACACCCAAGGACTATGAAATCATTTAGAAATGATGTGATACTGCAGAAATAGGCTAATTGGTACAAAATTTTGTCATTTTTATTACGACAGAGTTGAACTAGCTGCTTTCCATGTCATGTATAAACATTTTCTACTTTGTGAAAAGTTCTAAAATGCATAGCAACTGAAAAATCATTACCAAACAAGGTCTATTGAATTTTTCACTTTCTACAGCTGAGTATACAATGAAAATTTTTGCTGCCAAACTTCAAGTTAGGCTCCTTTGTTCCTTCATAGATAATAAAATCCAATTTAAACAGCAGAACTCAAAGTCTAACTGCCTATATCTCGTAGTTCCAATACTTATTACATTTATCCACAATAGGAAATGGCATGTTTCCTTTCATCTCAATCAAAATAGAAAACTTGGAAAAATCTAAACTCAGCAATAAAAATAGAAAAGTAACAAACATGACACGGGCAATTCAAAATTCATAATCACACTGTTAGAGTAAAGTTAACATTTTAGTGCAACTAATGAATGCCATGGATTCAAATCTCACAAAAGCATCCTCTTTAAGCAGGAACGGGGTTACATACATATTGAACCTCTCTAAGGCAGGGAAAAGCTTGCCCTTTTAAGCTATTTCCTCAATAGCATGCATTACTATCTTAACATGAACACTGAAAAGAATAATAAATTTTGAGCACAAAAAACAAAAAATCTAAATGAGCTGAATAAAAAACTACAATATAAAATACAAGACAAAAATATTTTGATTCTCATTCTTATAGAATGAGACACATCCGGTTACAAAGGTTCGCACAACTTTACCACATGTTATTTTGTTCTGATTGTTGGCAAATAGACTAACCAATTCACCCTGGTTAAGAAAAACATGAACTAAATTAGAACAAACACAAATCTCATATGCATGATTAATGAAGCAAACTTTACACAAACTATATGACTCATTAATATCAGAATTAACAATTTCTTGAAAGCCTCATTGATCTATGAATAAGATATGGAACCAGATACATAATTAAATTCACAAAAATGAAAGTACCTTATTTACTACAATTAAACAAATAAATAAAACAAACCTAATCACTACTTGAAAAGATGATGGCTCTTCTAGCTATCATAGTGTCAAAATGCGCTAGCGAAATAAGAATTGGTGTCAGAGAATTCATACAACCGTGCATTCATACAAGGAGATAAGTGTTCCTGATATGAGAACTGATGAAAAAAATTGCTCTGCTCCGAGCAAAATAGCTCCAAAATAGATGCATTGACCTTGAGGGTCACTGTTTCGTGGAGAGAAGTTAAGCGTGCCCGTCCTTGCTTCTCCATTCAGTCTCTAAATGATTAACGCAATACATAGCAAAATATATAAGAATAGAGGCCATAGCAAATCCTTTCAACAGAAAGTACCAGTATAGTTTTCCCTCTGGTTGTTGGTTCCACATGAATTACTCCGGAGGATTCTTGAGTCAGAAGATTTGAACCAAAAAAAATAAGGAAAAAACTTTGTAGAATTAATGTCGCCACAATCATTGATCTATTTTTAATTATGAGCAGACAGTAGTGGATAATTATAACCGAAAAGGCTAACACGAAACCGACATAATTGGCCTAGCCAGAACTGCTAATCTGAGGAACTTTTTCATCAAATAAGTAGAATTTGGGCACAAACATTACAATTACAGAACTGAATGCGCAAATATCACTAGCTTCTTGCAAATAATAAAAATGTTATATCACTTTCTATCTATTGTTGTAACCGCACAAGCTATGATGACGACTCGATTAAAATATCATGTTTATACAAATATGCACAAATAAAATAATGTTCTCTTATTTCTCAATGATCAAATTACAACTCTTCTCCTTACAGAATAAAGAAGGACCGGGATAAACTTAATTACAACCATTACAATTTACAATGATAAACTAACTCAAAAAGGAAAGAAATATGACACAACAAAAAGAGAATAAAATAGAACACTAAAATAGGAAACTCAGAATTCCACACTCCCCCTCAAGCTAGGTCATAGATATTGCAACGGCCCAGTTTGGTATTCAAATTAGTCAAGCTGCTTGGAGGTAGATATTTAGTAAAAGTTTAAGCAACCTAAGATGAGTCGCAATGTAGATTAAGTGAATAATGCCTCCATCGACCTTTTCAGAGATAAAATGCCTATCAATCTCAATATGCGTAGCCCTTTCATGATAGATAGAATTCTTTGCAATATTAATGGTGGCTTGGCTATCACTAAACATCTTTATGGGATTGATCGTGGAGTACCCAACTCACTTAGTAACCTTTGGATCCACATTCCTTCACAAATTCCCAAAGAAAGCGCCCGATACTCAAATTCTGCACTACTTCTAGAAACCACTATTTGCTTTTTGCTCCTCCAGGTGATAAGATTTCCCCAAACATGGTAACAAAACCTCGGGGTGGACTTTTTGTTAGTGAGTTTTCTTGCTCAATTAGCATCAGTGTAAACCTCTACCTCCTTATTGTCTGATTTCTTAAACAGTTACCCTCTGTGACGAAGGGGCTAGGGCCAGTAGGTTCAAAGGGACCAAGCAAAACTAGTCCAAGGAAAGGCTGGTTCTGATTCTTACGGGACCGAGCAGGAGTGGCTTTTAGAACGAGGGATAGTCTTGATTCCTTCAGCTTCGAGCGGGAGCGGCAACTTGAATGGGTTGCAATGCCACAAACCCCTTCCTTCCTTCCTATTCTGCCTTTTCTCCATTTCTTTCTTGTTTCCCGCCTGAGGGGAGTCTATTTAGTTGCTTGTTGTTGGAATTAGGGTTATGTTATGTTGTATTATTGTTCTCAGGTTCTCCTTGGAGTCTCCTTCTCCCTTGCTAGGGTTGAATCCGACGATGGTGGTGCTTCGACTATATCTTGCTCCAAGGAGGTGTTGTATCTTCCCCAATCCTTCTCCTCCCCTTTTTCCGTAGTCACCGGCCTCCCTACATCATCACCCCCTTTGCTGCCACCTCTTCATAGCTATAATCTATTGTCCAACTCTCCCTACCACCTTCCAACAGCCAGTTCCTATCCCCCCTGTTGCTAGCCCAGTTGTCGAACCCTTCTGGTCACCCACCTGCATCTTGCCAACCACCTACAACAGTTCTCCATGTTGTCCGACTCATTCCCCAACAACCAGCACACTTTTCCACTCTACCATGCATTTTTCCTTGCCGCCCTATTCTCCCAATCCCCAAACTAGCCATCAACCACCATTCTAGCCTATCAAGCAACCCTCAACCTTCCCTCTTACACCTTGCCGCCTTACCGACGCTACCACAGCCCTCAGATCTTCTGTTACGGTATTAGTCAGATAGTTGTTTGTTATTGTATTTCCCTTTTCCATTTGTCTCGTATTGTAGCCCTAATTCAGTTCTAATAAAAAGTTACTTTGTATTTACGCTGATTTTCTAACTACTTCCGATATCCATATGCCATTGTGAGAGCCCTGAAGCACTGGAATCATTACCTGCTAACAAGTGAGTTCACACTGTTTACATATCACGAAGCCTTAAAATTCCTCAATGGACAAAGCAGACAGAAGGGCTGACGTGACACCTAGGAAAAGTTCCTAGCCTTGTTCCAGTTCGTGCCTAAGCACAAGGCGAGAAGCAAGAACCACGCAGTAGACGCTCTGAGTCGTCGACATCTGTTGATCACATTTATGCAGGCTCGAGTTATGGGTTTTGAAGTCATAAGAAATCTATACGAAGCAGATGAGGACTTCAAGGACATTTGGGAGCAATGTCGGAAAAAGCCGACAATGCAGTATTATCGAGCAGATGGATACTTGTTCCACCAAAGTTGATTGTGCATTCCCAAGTTTTCACTGAAAGAGGCCATTGTCCAAGAAAGCAAAAGTGGAGATATAGCAGGCCACTTCGGCAGGGACAAGACTCGCCCTCATAAGAGAGCATTTATTTTGGTCCTTACTGACGAGAGATGTGACATGTCAGGCAGTGCAGAACATGCCATCTGGTGAAGACGAGAGGGCGGAATGTGGGAGTGTACCAAAGTTGGTTGTGCATTCCCAAGTTTTCACTGAAAGAGGCCATTGTCCAAGAAAGCCACAGTGGAGAATTAGCATGCCACTTCGGCAGGGACAAGACTCTTGCCCTTGTAAGAGAGCATTTCATTTGGTCCCTACTGACAAGAGATGTGGGTCGACATGTCAGGCAGTGCAGGACTTGTCATCTGGTGAAGACGAGAGAGCAAAATGTGGGAGTGTACATGCCACTTCCAGTACCAGAGACACCGTGGGTGAATGTCAGCACATATTTCATGGTAGGGCTTCCAAGAACCCAAAGGAACAAGGACTCGGTGATGATAGTGGTGGATACATTCTCCAAAATCGCCCACTTCGTACCCTGCCACCGGACACTAGACGCGTCTCACTTTGCAGATCTATACTTTAGGGAAATTGTAAGGTTACACAGAATTCCCATAATCATCGCCTCCGGCAGAGACGTTAAATTCCTAAGCCACTTACAGAGGATACTATAAGAAAAGCTAAGCACCAAGCTCCAACTCAGTTCAGCGGCTCATCCACAGGCAAACAGACAGAAGTAGTAAACAGGAGCCTCAACTACCTCCCGAGATGCTTCATGGAGAAGAGTATAAAGCAGAGGGATATTATTCTAGCCTAAGCAAAGTTTGCCTACAACTGATTCGTCAACCAGACTACAGGACGCATTCCCTTGGATATTGTGTACAGTCGCAATTCGCTCACACCACTTGAGTTGGTGCCACTCCTACCAAGTTCGGAAGACATGGAGAATGTCACAGAAAGTTGTTCACGAGATTCAGAAACTCCATGAGGAGGTTGGCAAGGAGATTGCTAAGAACTGCAAATATCAAGCACAGGTGAATAGATCCAGAGAGAAAGTACGTTTTAGGAAGGCAACCTCGTGTGGATTCGAATGAAGAAGGAAAGATTTCCAGTAGGAGCATTCGGGAAACATAATCCCAGAGCACATGGACCTTTTAGAGTACTTAGGAAGCCGAACGACAATGCCTACAAGATTAACCTGCCATGGAACTACAACATTTCTTCCCCATTCAATGTCATTGATCTGACGCTGTACTTTGAGCCAGAAGCTTCAACGAATGAGGTTGAAGCTTCCCCAATCCCAGGAGATTGACAAGAGGCCAAGGGAGCTAGCCGGTTGAACCGGTTGGCAACAAATCTTGCAAGGCAGATACGGTACAGCGGACCGGGCGGGATTTGTATGAGGCGGGACTTCCGCTCCTTCTATTTCCTTCCTTAAATGATCTCCTCCATATGAGAAGTCTTCCATTGCTATTTTCTGGATTTGGACTGTCGTCCACCCCTTTCCTTTTGTGCGGGAGATTTATTTCATATTTCTTTCCTTTTCTTTTTCATATGGAAGCCTATAGATTGTTGTTTTCCAGATGTAGGGTTCAATTTTTTGCTTCTGTTTTGTTTCAGAATTCTTCTTGGAGTATTCTCCTCACACTACTGGGTCTGTAGCCGACAGCAGGTGGTGTTTCGGCTGTATCCTGCTCTGAGGTGTTGTTGTGTCCTTTCCAAACTCCCCTCCAACCTCCCTAAGCCTTTCAACAGCCAACTTTCCCCACCAGACCTCCCGACAACCCTCTTCCATCATCTGTCACAGCTTCCCAGCCTATTTCCCTTGCCGTCCAACTCTTTCGCTTCACCCAGTCACCCTTTCGCTTCTTTCTCCTAGTCTCAGCCTGCTGTCCAGCTCTTTCCCCACCATTTCCTTAGCCGTCAACCTCTCTGCCTCATCCAGCCACCCTGCCGCCACCTTCTCTCAACTGTAACTTGTTGTCCAACCCTCCCCACCGGCCCTCTGCACCTCTAGTCAGCCCACCTATAGTCGGCCTCACTATTGTCTAGCTTGTTCTCCATCAACCAACACCCTTCTAACCAACCCTACAGTCTCACCCTTTCCCCTTTCCCCTTTCCCCTTACCCTTTTGTTGATGCCACCACTGTTCTAGGATATTCTCTACCAGGCCTAACTAGAAATTAGTTGTTATTGTATTTCCCCTTTCCGTTTTTGTTGTGTTGTGAACCTATTTCTATACTAATAAAAGTTTGCTTTTGCAGTTTCTAACTAGTTCCGGTATCAAACACTTCCTCCAAATAATATTTAAAATTTATTGATTGAAATAACAAAAGATTCTCACAATTTTAATTATATTATTTTCAAATTTAATTGAAAGTATTTAATTTGGTGATGACACTTAATAGAGCTTCAGCAATTTGTTAAAATGTTGAGAATTACATGTTTGTAATCAATATGTAAGAAAGTTAGATTACTGACAATTAATTTCATACAAAAAAGAAGAAATCATTTAAGTATTTAAGGATGAGTCCAATGTTTCAGATTATGTAAAACAAGAAACTAAATGATAAAAATTTGAAGAGAAACAAGTTGAATCAAGAAATAACAAATTGTGACAAAGCAATATTGATAAATGCCTCATTGTGATAATACTTAGCAGTATCAATTAAAATGAGCCAAGAACTTGAATCAAGAGATAACAAATTATATTTGTCTCCAATTTAGACTAATGAATACAGGGAAAGTTGATATGTCCATAATTCAAAAAGCTGAAATATCAAAATGAAAAAAAGACTGAAAAGAACCTAACTCAAACAAAATCCATGTGGTATTGGAACCCAAATATTTGAGAAAAGAAAGAATGTGTGAAGTAAGAACAAGAGATTGTCAAAACAACAATATTATCTTTAAAAAAAATTTTCTTTAATATTGGCAGAAGTATGCATGTTCTGTAGATGAGGATTATCAGATGATGGGCCAGTGAGGAAGAGTACCTCAATGGTTAGTTAGAGTATGCTTGTAACTGTTTGAATATGGGAAAGTGTCTTATGAAATACCAGAAAACTAATCCGCTATAACTTCTTGGAAATTTCTTTTTAGGTGAGAATTAGCCATACCTGCTAAATATAACAACAATATGTATTCTGTTTTTTGAATCATTCACTGTTAAATCTTTAAAAAAAGAGCCTTGGTCATAAAGATTAGTAAAACCAGTTCAACGGCCCTCTATCCATGTGATGTTGACCATTTATTTTCCACAACTTTCAACCAAAGTACAGCACATAATTGATGCCTAAACCCTATATTATTTTCCGATCTTGTCATTTTGCATGATAAGAGGATAGTTATCATAAAGAAATCGCAGTTTACAGAAGCAAGTTAAAGAAGTCCGGTAAGTTTGGTTGTGATGCATAAGCAAATTTATAATAAAAGTGCATAAGCAAAATTATAATAAAAGTGCTGAAGTTGTTAGGAAACCTGGCGACCACTTTCATCCATTGGGATGCAATCCACAGAGAGAAAAGTGTCAACATCATCAGCAGTAACCACATAATCAGGCACAGTTGCTCCTAAATTAGAACAAAAGCATATGAGTAACCATTTTTTTTTTTTAAAAAGCATATTATTTGCAGGCTATTGGGATACGTAATATTTCTATAAAACTAGTTCGGCTCACCTTCAATTGATTGCCTGGTGCCATTTTCAAGATGACGAACCCACTAGAAACCAATTGTGATATCGATCATATATATCATAAATAAAAAATTATAAAAATTAGCAAAGAGAAATAAGTATAAAATTCAATGACTATCGTAAACAAAAAATTAAGGGTTAACAACCTGAAAGATACAAAGATAAGTCCCATTAGTGGGATAGCCACAGGCTCTTAAAGTGCAACCTGGTTTAGCCTCACCAATAATTTGAAATACTTCTATACCAGGTAAGGAGGCCTCGCCTACTGAAATATGTTGGGATAATCAATCAAAGCACAAAATTAACATTAGGTGTTAGACATGTAAATACATATGAATTGAGTGGTATGTATGAAAATAGACCTTACACTTAACATAATTACCTCTAGAGAAAGGAGAAGATTGCATCTCAAGTGGGGAGGGTATATAGAAATGAGCATCAGGAGTCTCTCGTCTATTTTCAGCCTCGACTGCATTGCCTTCGAAAACATTGGGAATAGTGGCCCCTCCAACATCCCTGGTTGATGCAGTTAATGAGAAAATATCAAAGGTATATGCAAAGAAAACTAAGAATAAAATCATGACATTGGGGCTATAAAAATTGGATAGATGGAAAGAAACAAAATTTTAGAATATTCATTTTTGTACATTGGAACAAATACAATTTGATATGATAAATAAAACCATCAATCTGAAGGAACAAAGATAAAAAACTGCACATTGCTGAGACAAATGTAAGAGAGATCCAAATGCAGTCATTATCAAAGGACTTATCCCACCTATTTATATGAGTTTGGCGTCTATGTGGTAATGCGTTTTGATTTTTGCTTCTACTTTCCAGAACACCAGGGGAACCGTAACGTGGTCGGTTTAATTATTGTGAGAAAAACTGCAACATTAAAGCTTTCCTGAAATGGCGGTTCAGATTACTTCCTAGACATGCGTATTCAAGAAATTTAGCTATTTTTTATTATAAATAAATTCATTAAGTTAATTAATTATATCCTATATAGAAATAATCATCAATCTAAGATCAACACCATTTTATTTATAACAATCAAGTAATTCTTGGAAATTGACTTTCAATCTGCAACAACCTAACAATCCATAGACAACAATTGATGCTTTTTAAGCACTCCTAAAAAAATGTTTAGGAAGCGGATTTAGAGTGGAGGTAGTTGTTGAATAACAAAATAATGATATATGCGAGATTGGAAGCATTTTGAGGGGGATAAGCGGTATGTTGGACAGCAGATTTGAGCTGTTCAGCGGCTGTCCCTTCTGAAAACAGAAAGACAGACAACGATATGACATGGTACGGGCAACAAGGAGGTTCACCGCCTATTCCTGAACAAGCTACAGACACACCACTTCCAAAAGAAAAAGATACATCACTCTTTATTATAGAAACTAGAGATTACAATCTCTAAAATACTCAAATCAAGCAAGTCTCCAAACACTAAAAAAAAACAAATAAATAATCTCCAAATAGGAAATACCTTAATAAGAAATAAGAAAATAGGAAAAACATTATAAGGAAAAATTGGTTAAAATCATAAATCAAGGGGAACTACGGCTCGACACCAGCACAGGTCATCGGATTTACCTGCAATCAGCGATATTGCGGACTTCCAGCAATCAGATCGCAGTTTCCGCAATAAGATGCTCTGTGTCATTCTCTCGGGATAAAGATGTATGATTTATTCTCTAGAGGATTGTGAAATTAATCAACCACCATAACAAAGTCATTGTATTCTAGTCGTTGAGGAAGCCCCACTACAAAGTTTATGCTCACACCACCCAAGATAACTCTGAAATATGTACGTCCTTCCAAAGTCCATCTTGGTAAAATAAAGAATCATTCTCTTTTGTCATAATCAAAGAAGAAGCTGCATCTGGACTAGTAGTCTCACAAACCAAACCTCCAACCCTCAAGTGTGTAATATATTTTTGCAATTTCTCATACTCAACTGGTTTTATTCCATAGGCGAGTTGGTTTGGCAAAAAAAAAACTTGAAATAAGATCTATTGTATGTTGAATACCTCTTTGTGGTAGCTATCCGGTCAAGATATCCAAAAATTTCTTCAACGGGGGTTGTCCCTTTTTTGGTATCGACTCCTAGGACTCACTACCATCTAGAACAACTAATATTAATCTTGTTGGACTCTCTCTCATGGGCACAACCTGAATCATTAGCATCTCTACCTCATCTGCGGGCAAGTGACACTCCTCTACATTCTCCTCCTTTGGGCCTTCACCTTGTGCCTCCTCCAATACACCTTATTCAACAAAAAATATCATTTCCTTGTTTGGGCAATTCGATCCAACGTGCCCAAAATCGTAACACTTTAAGCACTTCCTTGGAGAGACAAATGTGAGAGTTCTAGAGGTCTCCACTTTTTCTCCATTCTAAACAAGGTTTTCCTCAAGCGAGATCAATTTGGATGCTCCATTGGGAGCACTTATGCTGCTTGATCTAATAGTTGAACCCTATTTGAAGGGATGTGTGAATAAGATATTGTTGTGTTGTCTCTCCATCTTCAGAGCTAAGGTTTGAAAATTTTGTAATATCCAATAAGATTGCAACTATATTATCTTGCCACTGAATGATCTCAATCTTCCCAAAAATCGAGTTATGATGTTATCCTCGAGATGCATTAGCTTACACTTCAACATATGCTGCTCAAACTCAGTTGTGTACCCATCTACTAAGAGATCTTGTTGTTGTAAGAAGTGTTTTAAAAGGTGTTATTGGGGTGCACTTGGTGGGGTGCGAGGCATTACGCCCCAGCCCAATGAGGGTTGTAATTCTCATGGGGCAAACGTCTCAACATGTCTTTTCCGACCAGGAACTAATTTTTCACCCCACGGGGTTTATGACCCATTTGCGGGCTAATTAAAAAAAAAAATAAACCCCTAAACACTCTGTTTCTCAGACCTACTCGAATCATAGCTTCTCACTCCCGCAGTAATCCATGGGCAGAAGAAACAGTCGCAGAAAGCATTGCACGACCCAATCGCCTTCTCCTTTTCATTCATCTTCCCATTTGCACACAAGAGACTAGCACTTAGCCCGCAGTTCCGCACCCATCAACACCACGCGATCTAGATCTATATACCACAACCGCAACGCCTGTAATTTCACACAGATCATGCAATCCAAACCTCTGCTCCACAAGGCCTATAAGCATGTGAGTTTTATAATGGAATCAATGTGTGGATTTTACAGTAGCTACAGTAAATTCACTATCTACAATCATTTTGACTGTATATTTTGGCATTAATTTTGAGTGTATCTTTTTTTTTTAAATTTAATGTGCAATGTTAGTAACTAATTTGTATTATATGGGTTGGATTGTGTGACCAGTAATAGTCGCACTGGCAAGGAATTTGAATGGAAATTTACAATAAGCACACCTAATGAAAAATATTTCCTATGTAAGTTCTGCAATCAGGTGTGCAGTGGAACGATAATCAGGATGAAGCGACAACTTACTGACACACATAAAGACATTAAATCATGCACTAAAGCCCCCACTGAATTTTAAGAGAAATGCAAGAAAACATTAGAATAAGATGAAAAAATCAAAGCACAACGTTACAGTGAATTAAGTGACGTTAGAAGAACTGCAACAAATATTTGTGAATGTCAAAATGCCACTAATTCATCAATACAAAACTCCTCTCAAAGGGCGCATAGAAATAAAGGTCCAATAGATTCTTTTACTACAGCACAAACCAGGAATTCTACTCCAAATTCCAAGTAAAAGAAATATGAAAGAAATAAAGCATGTAGAGCAAATGATCGGTTTTGCTACCTAGTAGGATTGGCATTTAATGTTGCAACTGACCCATATTAAATGTCTATATTTGAAGCAGTTGCTAACTTTGGACCTATTTGTACTCCAACTATAATGCATTAATTAAGAATTTAGATACACAATAATAAAGTTGCTACAATCAATAAGATTTTAGAGTACAAGATGACATGTAGTAAATATGGGGGATCAATTATGTCAAATAGTCGAACAAATTAAAAAAGTTAGATTTTTTTTTTTGGTTAACGGTTGAGTTGGAACTTTTTTTCTTAAATTTGTGGATGCCTCTGATGCTATAAAAAATGGTGAATTGCTATTCACTTATTTGGATGAAGTGATTAAGGACGTAGAGGAGAACAATATAATGCAATCGATAAGATGTTAGAAGAACATAAAAAGACATGGAGTAAATATGGAGGATTGATTATGTCAGATAGTTGAAAAAATAAAAAAAGTTGGACTTTAATTCATTTTCTTGTTAACAGTCCAGCTGGAACTTTTTTCTTAAATATGTTGATGCTTCTGATGTTATAAAGAATAGTGATTTGTTATTCACTTATTTGGATGACGCGATTGAGGAAATAGAAAAAAATAAAATGTAAATTATAACACATAATGGGTCAAATTATATGAATATGGGTAAAAAAGTAGTGAAAAAAGACAATTTGTTGAGCACTTTATACATCACATTTTAGAAAGAAGATTTGGTGTATGACAAATATAATACTAAATAAAAGGGAGAAATATAAGAAGAAGAAAACGACTTTGATCCAATATTAGTAAATGACAGACTTTAATGATGAGTGGACTGTTTAGAAAGAAGATTTGGTGCTTCCACAATAATTTTCTTGGGTGAATGAAGAAAAATATGTATTTAAAGTTTGATGTAATTAGAAATGTCCAAAACTAATAAGAATGAAGAAGCACAAAATCTCACACAAAAAAGAAAGAATACTTTTTATAACATATTCCAATAGAAAAAAGATAGTTGAATGGAAAAATAAGTTTCATATTTATTTTTTGTTGTTCTTTACATAATTATGTAATTTTTTTTAAAAAAAATCCAAAATATTTATGAATGTAGTTTTATTTATTTTTATAATACAGGCAACGATGATAAGGGAAAAAAAATTATGAAAGTGCCTGAGACAAAGCATGACGATAACTTTACTGAAGTGGACAATGAATGCAGATAAAATGAAGTATATAGTTGTGATTTGGACACAATTATTGGTGAAGAAGAAGAAAATTTTGAGGATGAACTTAAACAATGAGTAATATGCAAAAATTGAGATCAATTAAGTACAAGTAGTTTATTTTTCACTCAAATATATTTATTTATTTTTATATGTTTGTACTTTTTGTGGTGGATGTATACCAATATTTTCATATTTAATTCTAGAAGACTTGTTTTGAAATTAAATGAGTATAAGTTCTTCTTTTTATCTCTTACTAATTGTATGATTTTTTTTATATCGTGGGACTTATGCCCGACAGTTTGGGGCTTACGCCTCGCCTCGTAATAAATAAAATGCCCTGCCCAACACCACCACCTTTTAAAAAATTGATGGCAAGTGATGAAGTCTCAAGAACATGTCTTATCGATAATGTCGGGAATGGTATTTGTGCTGCATCTTCTTTTTCATCTCATAAACTAGTTGATGATCTTACTCTTCTCTTCCCTCTGTCGAATACGCTTCAGGTTCTCCCACCACAAGGAAGAGTTCATCCTGAGCTTAATAGCTAGAAAAATCCATAGACAATAGCTTTCCATCTATAATGTGCAGTAGCTTACCATCTACAACAATCCAACAATCCATGGGTAACAGCTTTTCAACTATAGAAATCCAGAAATATATGAGCAACTATATCTCATTTTTTTTGTGTGGTTGATTCTAGATTCCACAACAAAAGATCGGTTTCCAAGTTTATTTTTATTGAGATTATTACTTCTCCACCTATTTATGTATGGCTTATTTATCTTTTTATTTCATAGAATAAGGAAATTAAATTCAGTCATAATTTTTTTTTTTCATTTTCATTTTCCCTGCTTCTCATTTTAACTTTCAAAAGTTTATCATATTATACTAATATTAAATTCATAATAATATTTATTGATGTCATTTAGTCACTCATATGAATGCCGCAATTGTTTTTTAACCGAACAGATTCAACTCTCACAACACTCTGAACTCTGATGTATAAAAAGTTATCCACTTTATTCCGTGCTCCAACATAGCAACGTGCAGCACAAAACGCACTGCACAGCAAGGCCAAACAGAACCTAAATCGCATAAATGCATACATACTACATAAAATTTAAAAAATACAAGTTAATAATTCTTTATCCTAATGAAAGCCAATCATTTTGCACCATGCTAGATGGTTAATATAGCATGCACACATCACAAACAAAATGTAAAGTATTTTCACATAAATAATGTCAGAACCTCAACCCAGTATCTTCTGTGCAATTCACAGCAATATTTGTTGGTTAGTTACACCCTTAATTGGCTTCTAGTTGTATGATATTTTTGCACACACTCGTGTATGCAAATATGAGTTAAAGTGCTAAGATAGTCCCATGACTGTTTGAGCCCCAGAGTTTATTAGTGTCAATTTAATCCATAAGCACTCTTAATATAAGCTAAAATAATGCCCACATAAAATAATCCCCACCTCTTTAAATTGGAACTGAAATAGTCCTTTGTGGGACCTATTTCAGCCCACATAAAAAGAGATTGGGAACTAAATTAGAACTTTTATAGACTCTGGGACTAAAAATGACCCACTGCAAAAAGTTAGGGGACTATTTTGACATTTTTCTCAATAAATATGACACTTTGTAACTTCTACTACATCAATCATGTTAAAAAATAACTAAAACTGTTTTTAATAACCCATAAATCTAAGCACTTGCACCTTCAACTCAAACAAAACATCAAATTCACATTCAATAATCACCTTGCACTAAAAATTAATACTAATAAAATCATATCCTCATAAGGCATTATAAAATGCAAATTATAATTTGGGTTTTTAATATTTTTACATCACTTGCATCACAAGCGTATTTGAATAATTAATATGGATAAAACAATTTAAAGATCCAAAATACTAACCAAAGAAAAAGTAGTAAAATTGCATAAAAAAAGCAAAATCCCCTCATTAATTATTCTACTATACAGACTGAACTCAACAAAATAAAGATCTACATTTTGCAATATTGAAGCCAGAGCAAGTAGTGCTATAATTTTCTGGAAACAGTTTATAGAGCCCAGAGAAAATCCCAAAAAGGCAAAGCAATATCAAAATATTCATGTTCAAATTGAAGAAAGAGTAAGCTTGAAAAGAGACCTACTTAAACATTGCAGATTGTAACTCCTTTGGCTGATCCATAATGAATTTGTAACCAAAATCAGAAACGGTATTATTTAATCCCTTGGAATTCATCACGGACATTGGTGGAATATGTTTTAATTTGGTTGTTCCCTCCGCATGGAAATCAAATGGGTACTTTTCATATCCTTGAAACTCATTCATGTTAGAATCCTGCAATAGTGATAGAAAATATTTATCTCATATTCAAGCAGTAATTGGGTTGATGCAGCAGACTGAGCAAATATACCAAACCGGGTTGAGAAAGAGATTTTCTGGCAATTGTGGCAAGCTTTCTATTGTCAGAGAGTTCAATGCCAGGTTGATCTCCTAAAAGCAAGTGCATCTCACCTATACCAGCCTGCAGTCATACCAATGCAATAATCGGTGCTTTAAATGACTTCCCTTCTTTTTTTTGCATTTGAAAATAATTCACTCATCATTATTTACAATACTTGTGGATTACAAAAACTCGATTTGTAATTTATCTACCTTTTCATTCAATATTTTCAACATCAAATGTTACATAAAAATATATATTTTTTAAAATACATCCATCTAATGTTTTTTAGTATTTTATTATCAAATGTTAATAAAGGATAAATTAAAATTTTAATTAATTCATCAAACTATGTTCTCATTATGTTCATTGTATTTCTACAATTATAAATAACGTTTTAAGTGCACAGAATATTAGAAAATTTATATGATAACATACAATAGGTTATGAGAGAGTTAATAGAACATCAAAAAATGAGTATTTTATCAAACTATTAAAAATCTACTTGTCAAAACAAACATGCATGCTCACAAAAACAAACAAACAAACAAGCCAATATTCAAAGGTCAAACCGTTCATTCATAATTCAAGCTTTATGATACCAGAATAAACCAGACCCCCAATAACAAAAGCAAATTTTATAAAGCAAAACGATGAGGATTAAAATCATGACTCAAAATAAAAACGAAAACACAACAAACAGTAAAGATTCGGGGGCAGCGATGGTGCCAACGGGGATGGTTATAGGTAGAAGTGGGGGAGGGGGCGTGGTAGGTGGTTGGGATTATGGGGGTTGTGGTGGTCAGTGATGCGTGAAAAGATTGTATGAATTTTTTTTATGTTTTGCACATTTTTATGAATGAAATTGCATTTTAAAGAAAGATGTTTTTTATGTTTTTCTTGCAGATATAATAGGTATTAGGAGTGGAGCGAATTGGAAGAGATATAGAGCAAAAAGGAGGGGAATTGGAGCAAAAAAGACAATATAGTGGGCTAGGGCCTTGGCGCCAAACTTCTTGGGCTCCTAGGCGCCAACCCCAACTCATGCAAACCGAGAGGCTAGCGCTTAAGGGTGTCATGGCCCTAGATTTAAAGGCCAAGGCCTTGGCGCCAGACAAGTTGGGCGCCTAGGCGCCATAAACTAACCTGGGGCAGTTACAGCAGTTCGACCAACCTGTTCAAAGTGTTGTTTGGGCGGACCATATGCAATTTGAACAAAGTATTCTGGAGGCTATAAAGAGAAGACAAAAAGACTTCAAGAGAGAGGAAATTGGGAAGTGCTACTGATCTTAGAAGAGTTATCTTTAGAGTAGAAAACTTGTTCTATGCTAGAAAGAGCAAGTCTAGAGTAGGGAATTGGTGAGGATTTGAGTGTTAAAGTAAGGAGAGTTTACAGGAGAGTGCCAACTGAATTGGTGGAGCATTCACAAGGTTGTATTGAGAGAGAGAGATAAGTACTCTTGTGTTTAAAGTATTGTATTTTTTGTAATTACTTTGATATATGGATTCTCTTAAATTCAATAAAGTTTTGTGGTGTTTCATCTATGTTTTCTGAGTAATCACCTCTATCTTTTCCTTATGATAATGTAGTGTGATGTGTAGGAATGTGAAAATGGTTTTAAATTGTATTTAATCTTTTAATGTGATGATTTTCCTTATGCATTTCATTTACTTATCATTCTCGCCAAATGATTTGTTAATACTCGTTGTGAACCCATAACGGGAAAACTATGACATGAACAACTAGGATAATCACGTTGAATTATAGGGTACGAAGAAAAAGTACACTATAGGGAGATGCAAATGTTAGGGAAATAATCATTGTTGGGTTCAAAGTGGGGCTTAAGAAATTAAGGCACATTAACCAAACTTCTATATGCACCCAGGAGAGGGTAAAGAAGAGAATTGCTCCTATTCATCACTAACCACATTTTAGTTTACATTTTCTCATTTTCTACACTCCACTACAATCACTGTCATGGAAGATAACTTTATCACCTGATTATCATCAATTCAACTAGGATAATTAGAATTTTTGTAGGAGTAAACTATAAACTTATTTATGTTGCGGTAGGAACTGTTAACATAACTTAAATATTTTAAATTCCGAACTAAGGATGAATTTAGTAGGCTAGAACCTTTTCCTAAATTTGATCATCTCGTTCTCTGTGATCGACATTTCGGGCTTAAAAAAATCTGATCTACTTTGACCGTGCACTTGCGTAAGGCACCTGAGTGTTGAAGCATTTGTCAGGGGTCAGTCGGTGGCTAGGAATAGGGGAAATGGGAAGAAGGTGATATTGAAGGAAGCCCAAATCATAATAGAAATATAGAATGGTTTTGCTGAAATTAAAAGGGTTACAAACGCGACACCAAAACAAGGGCGAAGTGGGGTGGTGGTGCTTCAGTTAAGGGAGACGGGAGGTTGGTTGCCACAGAACAACTGCGGTTGGAGGCAGGGATGGCTAAGAGGTTGGGTGTTATCATAGTGGTTGGGAGCAGGGCTGGCGTGAAAGGGAAAAATAGGTGGCTGGAGGGGACTGCAAGATGAGGGGTCAGGCTGGAGACTGGATTAGAAGCTATATGAGAATGTTAGCGGTAATACAAAAAGGAAAAAGTGTGGTTACGGGAGGTTGGTGGTAGATGGGTGATGCGACCGAAGCTGGCGGGGGAAAGAAGGGGGTAGCGGCTGGAAGGGCAAGAGCGGGAGAGGCGGGATTGGGAAGGGCAGGTGGCAGTGAGGAGAACAGTTAACTGCAGATGGAAAGGAAGAGCATGGATAGCAGAGGTCTGGAAGTGTATGACGCAGGGAAGCTAGCAACAGGAAGAAGTTACGATGGAGAGCATTGCTTATGGGATGCGGCTAGGTGTGACGGGAAGGAAGCAGAGGAAAATAGGAGGGTTAAGGGGGAGGGTTATGATAATAGGCGGTAGGTGCACGGGAAGTTACGGGATAGCTGGAATGGATATAGAAGAGCAGCAGCCACAGCAAGTGCTGCACAAAAAGAAGGCAGCTAGCCAGGGAGGTGCAAGCAGAGGAAGGAAGATACAATCACCAGCAGGGAGAGAGATACAACCGGAGCGCCACTCTAACCGTCCGATACAACCCTCGAGGGGAAAACAAGATGTTGATGGCTATCCCCACAAACTGAAATCAGAAAATACAACATAAGTTGAAACCCTAAGACCTAAAAACACATATAAATAGAAGAGGGATCAGCAGCAGTCCTTTAGTTGTTTTTCTATAGCTTCCTCGTTGTCCAGCCCTTTCATTTGTTGCCCCACTTAGGACCGCCATTCTTTGGCTGTCAGACAGCCCGCCACATCCCCAATCACCTTGCCTCCAACCAGCCTCTAATGTTGTTTCCATCCTCCCAGCAGTCCATACGACCCTCTCAATCGATTGCCACCCCTTCCCAGCCTCCACCACCTGCTGGCCAGCCGCCGACCAGCTTCCGACAGCATCCTCGTAGTAGTCGCCACTGTTTCCGCCCTTCCCCCTTGCTCCCACCTACTTGGACAGCCCCACACATCATCCCCCGGTTACCTACATGCCGACCACGGGGAAATCGCTGTCTTCCTATTATTTGCTTGCCAACCGTCTTTTCCAACCCAACACACCTTCCAAACCCTCATCAACCACCACAAACCCCGCAAAACAGCGCCCTCCCCCATCCACCCCCCTCTTGGCGGAATCTACTCTTGTTGAGTGTTTGTGTTGCGTCAATTGCTACTTTTGATTTTTGGTGTCTTGATTGTTCTTATTTTCTTTTCCAATTGGTTGTTTGCAAGTCTATATTTGAATTTCAATAATAATATTTGCTTTTCTTATTATGCTTTAAGTTAACTCTAGTATAACTAACTTTCATTTCCAACAGCTATAAAATTTTAAATTCATGTGCATCAAGGTATTTCACATTGCAACATTATTCCAGGAACATTGTGCAATTAAGGATCCATTATCCAGAATAAAATAGCAAAACGACATATACTTCTTAAAATGATGAATCATGACATATACTTCTTAAAATGATGAATCATGTGACCTGGGCAAACGAGTAAATCAGTCATAGTATGAACTCTACTAGTAACATCAGTAATAGAAACTTAAATCTTAGTTTCAACAATAATTAGAATAATCTAGGCCTAACCCGCTATGCATGTCGTGTCAATAATCCCCTGGGCAAAACCTCTCCCTCTCTTACACATACCCACACAAAAAACGATTAATTCACAAATGAACCAGTAAAAAAGATATGTTTATCACTATATATTACATAGAAACCTTTTTTTTCAATTAATAATAGCAACAGCAGCACTTTGACTTGGTTGTGTGGAGAATGAATGTTCATACAAGAAACCCCAAGTATTTGGGATAAGGAAGCTAAAAGTGTTCATATAACATAGAACAGCAGCTGCTGCCAATTTACACAACTCGCTTGAGATGGCTTTATAAACTAAGTAGACACTCAAATCTTGTTTATGGATAGAATATTGCATAATGTTTGCATCAGCTATACATATTTTTCACTAATAAGAGAGAAAATAAATTAAGAAATTATAAAGATATAGATAGATATCCTTAATTAGAATGAAGCATATATTCTGCTAAACTAGAGTTGGCCTGTACAGCATCCATATCGAATGGAAAAAGATATAAACATTAAAATTGAATATGAGATAGTTGACTTACATTAGAACCAATCTTCCATTTCATATGCTGATAAAGACGCTGAAGCAAAATAAAATAAAGCATTAGAAAATAAGAAAATAAAAAAAAGATCAACTGTAAAATAGAAGCTGAGTACTTTACTGCTGTAGGGTAAAGGTAGCATATTGCAGCCACGTAAAACAGAATAAAAGAAAGAGAAATTGCATACGATGCACATAATGATTATATATTTACATATCTCACGCATAAACTTTCAAATTTGCATGCGTAAGAAACCAATGGAGACATATCACAAGGATGAGAAGCAGAGGACAACTAACCAAATCATGCACAAAAACTCTAAGAACATTATTCACTGTAATTTAGACAGAAAAACAATATGCTGATCAAAGTAAAGTTTAAAACAATGGAAATATATCTGCTCATTGACTATCTTCATAAATAGCTTCGTATCCCAGTATATTATTTCAATTAGATAATTGTTAGAAAAAAAAAGTTCTTTGCTATATTTATTAATTTTTAGGTATGGTAAAAGACCGAAGAATTTTCATATAGGAAGTAAAATCTAAAATAATAATTATGTGTTTAGAACAATCTACAACGCTATCAAGTTCAGTTCATCTATAAATAGCAGTCTCGAGTGATCTAAAAAAATCACTCTCTCTCTCTCTCTCTCTCTCTCTCTCTCTCTCATCCACCAATCCCTTTCTGCACCCAAAACCCTTTCCCCAAGGTGGTATTTAAAATTAACAACCCTAACTTTTTTCTGCACCCTAAATCAGCCTCATACATCCACATTCACTTCCCAAACCTAAACACTAGCCATGCCACCAAGGAAGCAATTGTAGGAAACCTGATCGGGAAGAAATGACACAATGTCATTTATGAATAATATGCAAAGTGATGTATAGGAACTTCTACGTAAAATATGAGGTGAGAAATCCTCCAAATAGATGTTTGTCGCCTTCAAAAGGAGACAATCAGAAAGGATCGCTAATAGCCAAAACAGCAATTCATCATATCGAAAGGATGAAGTGAATCCCTTCCACCAGATAGTTTCCAGTTATGAAGAACCACTAAACCAAAGATTTGGCATGGAATACCAGAGGAGAAGCCATGAACTTTAAGAAAATGAGAATTTTTCAAATTTTGACGGTCACAAAGATCCGGAAGAATTCATTGAGTGGCTCCCGATAGTGGAACGAGTCTTTGAATACAAGGATATTCCATCAAAAAGAATGATAAAGCTAGCAACCATCATGTTAAAGAAGAGTGCATTGTTATGGCAGAAAAAATTGAAGCACATATGTCAGTGTGAAGTAAAAGATGAAATCACTACCTGATCCAATATGAAAAGGAGAAATGCAGCGCAAGTACCTACATGCACATTATAGGTAAGATATGTTCTTTAGACTTCACTGGTTACAAGAACATCACCGAGTGACTGCCACATCTAACAAGGAGAGTTTAACCTTAAGATCAAGCAGCAAGAATACACCTAACAAAGCATCCAAGCTGATCTGGCCTGAGGAGAAACTAGTGCAGAGTAAAGAACAAGTAAAGCCAACCAGCATTCCTAAATTTTTCCCAATCAAGAAGTGCATCAAGTAGCACGGTTTTGGACAGTGCATCAGATCGCCCAAACAAATGTATGGTCTATTTCACTGAACAGGGAGCAATGGAAGAAATGGACAGTGACAAAGGAGAGGATGAAGGCTTCATAAATGAGTCTCAACTTCCAACTGACGAGGAAAAGACATAAGTAACTCAAGTTGAACCCATGAGCCCAAAGGAAAAGACAGTTAGACAACATGACTGACAATTTACCTATTGGGTGGTTGTCGCTAAGGGGTGGTTGTCGCTGAAAGTGATCCCGCATGCTATGGATTTCATTCCAAATTAGTTCCTCCAAATGTATTTGTTTATCAGATGTGTCAAGCCGAGTATGAAGAGTGGATGAGGCAAATTATAGATTTAATAATTCAAGAGTTACTTTGTGATAATTTATGTCTATATACAGTTCCCGTTCAAGTTGTGCTAAAATAATATGAATACTTATTCTATTATGATGTGTTTTGAAATGACAATGCCTGTAGGATTGACTTACCGGAAGATTATATCATTTATTCTACCTTCAATGTGGTTGACCAAACTCAATATCATGAGGAGATAGAAGCTTCGATTAATGAGGTTGAAGCTCCCCCAATCCCAGGAGACTGATGGGAGGCTCCTATGACCCTAGACAGGTTCAGTCCAGAAGTTGGGAGGGGCGGTCAGCTCTGATAACCCTAAGGAGTGCTGCTTAAGAGAATGGGGCTCACTCCTATTTTACCTTTGGACAGTCGTCGGCGTCTCTCTTTTCCTTATAGGGTTGTATCCAAAGGTCTGAGTGATGCTCCAACTGTACCTTGCTCCCGAGGTGGTGATTATCCTTCCTCTACCTCTCATTCATCCTTCTCCCATCGTGCACCTCCTCTCTCCCTTGTTGTCGCGCCCAGAAGAGTAATTCCCTGTTGTTTTCCTGCAATCAAGCCAACTTATCCTCGTTGTCGCCGCTAAGCACAGTCATCCGTTTGCTATCTTGCAGTCCACCGCATCCCCCTTCATTGTTGTCCTAATCCTCCCTTGCTACCGCCGCCCAGAACAACATATCTCTGTTGTTTTTCCCATAATACAACCACCTTACCTCGTTGAAGTTGCACGGGACAACGACCCTTTAGTTGTTCCTGCCCACCATCATCCCCATGTTGCCTCCTCTCCTTCCAACCCCTTTGCTATCTCTCTAGATGTCCAAACCTCTAGCTGACACCCTTCCACCTTGGATCCACCCCCGTTAAATGTCGTGTTGTGTTTGTTGCAAATTCAAATTACCGTTTCTAGCGGTCCAACCCCCAAGCTAGTAGTCCACCCTGGATCCACCCCCGTTTAGTGTTCTGTATTGTGCTTGCTGCAATTTGAAATCTCTGAGTCTGCTTGTGGTAGCCACAGCTGTTTGAAGAAACAATTTTAAGGCTGCTGCAGAAGAAGCTGTTATTCAAAAAGCTGCGGTAGTTGTTAAAAAAATCTGAAAAAGCCTTATCAAAGATTTCTCGCAGCCACGACAGGTAGCAGAGGTGGTGGGGAAATGCAGCTTTCGGCTGCAGCTTTTTGAGAGCACAAACAAAACGCGGTTTTGCCAAATAGAAAAAACTGTGGCGCGGCACCGCACCTCCACCCCAAACACAACCTCTGCTTTTGTTTTTGTTGTTTTTTTCCTATATGAATTCAAAAAAAATATTTGTTTGCTTTCGGTCTTTGCTAAACTCCAGTATCACCGTCCTTAAAAGATAAAATTCCTAAACAAAACAACTAGAGGAGCAGAGTCATCATGGCCATGAGTGCTAATAAAACTTATGAGGAAAGAATACTTCAAAAAGGTGGCACTTGCCTGTGTACTGTTCGTAATTGTGGAAGCATTTATTACAGGAAGTCGTATGTTATACTCCCCCAAAAAGCCTAGCAATGACGATGTGAATAAATACAGCTGTTCATTGGTAACCTAAACAAGATAATTAAACACTGAGTTATATCCATAAATGAGCAACAAAGTAAATTATGTAGCAAATGATGACAAGCTACAATTATTAAGATAATTATTTAATGGAATACAGTAGTAAAAAATGTATATAAGATAGTAAAACATTGGCATAACAAGCATAATTTATCAAACAAAATACAGGATTCCATGTTTTGAAAACACCAAGTCGTTATAATCTTCAATCAAAAGTGCCAGAACTAAACAAATTAATTATCAAGGAACTTAATTTTATATATTTAGAAGCACGGTGAGATATCCTACCCTCTCCGTATTTCATTGAAGTTCTAATGTCGGGAATGAAGTTTTGGATACTATCAAAAATATCTTCAACTAAGCAAGATAACAATAAATCATGCAATCAAATCATGAAAATACTGGGCCTTCCTTTTACCTACGGAAAAATATATAAAGATATGTATTTAAATTGTTATAAATAAAGAGTGAGTTGTATTTAAGTTAACATAATATACAATGTTGCTTATATGCAATAAAAGATGAAGCTTGGTGGCTTACTCTTATCAGGGTTCTTTATTGTGTCCACTAAAATATTATTTGCATGTCAATTTATTATCCTTAAAAAAAAAATAACCCTACCTTTGTCATCCTTACATTGCAATGGGTAGCCCACCTTCCCTCTACATCAAAGTGTCATGATGAGTTAAATGTAGATATGCAATAAAAGTAGTTCAATCAAAGAACTAATGAATGCTATTGAACAAGAAATTACTAAATTATGTATATACAATTACTTTCTAAACACAAGGAGAAACATATTTTGGAGATAGCATTCATTATACTACTGTCACTGCTAACATGCTTACACCTTAAGTTTTTGTAAGGAGCATGCATATGGAATGCTGATCTTCTCTAATCTTCTTATATAGCCTAGGTTGACAGCATACATCATACTACACCAATACTTTACCAGACAAGATTCACTTCTTTTCATTTAGTTATGGAATTATTATCCTCTACCTTCTATTTGTTCAATATTCTTATTATCTACATTTGAAAAGAATTCAACTTCAACTTCATTATACACATCTAGAGAGAAATATTACTTTTATTTTATGGAAAGGATATGTCGTTATAATCTTCAATCAAGAGTGAAAAAACTAAACAAATTAATTATCAAGGAGTTTAATTTTACATATTTAGAAGCACAGTGAGATATCCTATCTTCTCTCCACATTTCATTAAAGTTCTAATGTCGGAAATTAAAATTTGGATACTTTACAATAAAAACATCTTCAACCAAGCAAGATAGCAATAAATCATGCAATCAAATAATGAAAATATTGGGCCTTCCTTTTACCTACCTGAAAATATATAAAAACATGTATTTAAATAGTTAAAAATAAAGAGTGAGACAGTGTTGCTTATATGCAATGAAAGATGAAGCTTGGTAGCTTACTCTTATCAGGGTTCTTTAGTGTGTTCACTAAGAATATTATTTACATGTCAATTTATTATCCTTCCTTAAAATTAATATCCTTACCTTTATCATCCTTAAATTGTAATGGGTAGCCCACCTTCCATCAAAATCAAAGTGTCATGATGAATTAAATGTAGATATGCCATAAAAATAGTTCAATAAAAAAGCTAATGAATGCCATTGAACAGGACATTACTAAATTATGTCTATATAATTACTTTCTAAAATCAAGGAGAAACGTAGTTGCTAAAGTTCGAATATAAAAATAATATTTGGTTCATAAAATATTTGAACAAAAGTGACTTGGTGTTTGAATAAATGTGCAAATGAAACAATAAGCCTAGTTAGAAACAAAGGTAAGAGGTCATGTAGTAAGGTGAGCACACAAAGTTGTATGCGTGCAGAGCAACAGATGAGACGTGATTGTGTGAACAAAGGAATGGCACTCCTAGACAAAGAGCATGCAGAACCAAGTACAATTGAGTGGGCAAGCTAGAAAAAATGAGTTAGTGTCGAGAAGCAATAAAAAGATGAGATGTGACCCAACAAAGAGAGCACAGTGCATGTGGATGAACAGAAAGGCAAGCGCATGCATGTAAGAGAGTGCAAGTCAATTGATTTCAATGAGCGGAGGAATGAAATGAATCACAATCAAGTTACAAGAGCAAGAATTCCACTAGACAAAATTGAAAGGCTTTGATGCAAAACTTTATACGATCAAGGAGATGGAAAGAAAGAGAGAATTATTGAGAAAGGGAGTGACATAGGAGTGTCCCAAGTTGAACGCAGGAGACTGATTCCCCGTCCATGCAAGAGACAGATTCTCCCGTCCCACTGCTATAGCGGAAAATTTTCCACTGTTTTGGTTGCTCCAGCCCATGTGCGCCCTAAGTTTATATTATTAGAGATAGAATTAGGTTTAATTTATTTGAGAACAATTTATCTGTTTTTTATTGATTTTGGACATTTTTGCTTTAGTATAAGTTACTTGCAGAGTTTTCTCCTTGTTTTCTCCTACTTTGAGAGCTACCTATTTTTCTTCAAATGGTGAATTTGTATCTCATAACTCATAAGGAACAGATATTGAATCCCCCCTTCATCCATACCTTGTTGTTTCACTGAGTGCATTGATGTTCTCAAACCAGATAGCCACTGAATTTCTTCAACTTCCTTCCAAACTCCTACCGATTGCATATATTCTCTTCTTCTTTCTATTTTACAATCTCTCGCCACCAAGTTTATTCCTTAAACCTTCAAGATGCCCTAGAACAATCTCATTTGACATCATAGTCCGACCAACCCTAAATTTTTAATAATTTGCCTTCTCCCCCCTTAGACCAAAAATTCACAAAACATAAATCTTTCAACAACTCAACACGCAACCATCCCAACCTCAATTCCTAACCATAAACCTAAATTTTCAAAAGTTAAACTACCTCTACCAAACATTCATCCTGACACCTAGCACTTAAACCTAAACCCCCCAACAAACTCTTGATCCACAATCCAACATCACCTAAAACCCTAAGTGAGGAACTAGTCACAATGCTACCACGGATACACTCTTGATGGATATTCACAAACTTACCATGGAGGATATACAACGAAAAACCTTTCAATTGCAAGAAACACGCTGATTTTGAAAGAAGATAGCATAGGGAAGTCGTCCATAGCAACAACTGTGACCACCCGGAAGAAGGAGATCATGAAAAACCTTTTCAACAAGAAGCCTCAAGCAACAAAGAGTCGATACTGCATCAGTTCGACGTTGAGTATAAGAGAAATAGTGTTTTTATGTGAAGGTTGACTTGCTAGATTTTAATAATCGTATGAATCCGAACGAGTTCATTGAGTGGCTCCGACATTGAAATGGGTTTCTAATATAAAGATGTTCAACCTAACAAAAGGGAAAACTAGCCATCAATGCGTTAAAAAAAGTAGTTCTCGATGGTGAACAAATTTAAGACGTTTATGCAAACACGAGGAAAAAATAAAATTACAACATGATCTAAGATGAAGAGAAATGCAACGCAAGTACCTACAAGCATATTACAAACAGGATGTCTTTCTGAGACTTCACGATTTGCAATAGAAGAATTTGTTAGTAAACAGTGAGTTTAAACAGCTTATACTAAAATGTGAGTTTTTGGAGACCAAAGATAATATTGTAGCCATTATCTAAAAGGCTTGTGACCATCCATTAGCAAACTAGTGCAGGTACAGCCTTATTGGACATTATAGAATGTCCAGACTTTTAACTCAAAATGTTGAGAGATAATGCCATAGTATTAGGTCCACACCCCACCCTTCAAACAGGGATAGACTACATCGGATTACTAATTAATTGCAAATGATTGTTAGATGTTGTGGTTCAACAAGTTTTTTAGACCAAATCCAAGAAAAATAAAAAATAGTTTAGACATAATATCGTTCGTACTGATTACACTGTGATAGAGAAGATGAGCAGTCTCATAATAAAAAGCAGCAGTTGTGAAAATAGAATATCTATACATATGGGGGACAAAGTGAGACTTATCACCCAAAACCAAGTCCAACCATATTCTCTAACTCGGTAGAAGAAAAGAAATAAATAAGATCAAAGATGACATGAGGTGTCTGATAGAATTTTCGATTGGAAATAAGCTACAAAATCAGGTGTAGTTTGACACCGAGCCTATGGATGTATGTCACATTTTTTTGGGCTAATTGTGACAATATGATAGTGGCACTAAATGATAGTCACAAAAACATATACTCATTTATCAAGAATGGGAAGTGTATTATGGTTCTGTAGTTAAAGGAACCAGTCTTGATGAGTACTTTGGCTATGAGATAGGTGATGGTTAGTGATGCAAGAAGAATGAGATACAAAGGAGCTACTACTTGAGGCAGTGTGGCCCTTATTAAATGAGTTTCAAAATATTTAAGTTGATAGCCTGTCATCAAGATTGCCACCACTACGAGAGATTCAGCATGCCATAGATCTCATTCTAGGATAAGTGCTCCCCAACCAGCTAACCTACATGATGCGAACAACCAAAAACGAGGAGTTATAGAAGCAGATTACAAAGATGATGGCTAGATGATTGGTTAGTAAGCGTACTAGCCCATATGCAGTTCCAACTTTAATTGTACCAAAGAATGATGATTCTTGGAGCATATGTATAATATAGCAGAATTGTTAATAAAATCACCACTAATTATCGATTTCTTATTCTGGGATTGGATAATTTACTTCATCATGTCCTCTTTAAATTTGATATGCATATTAGTTATCCCCAGATCAAAATGAGACTACATGATGAGTGAAAGAAAGCCTTCAAAACATGAGATGAATTACATTAGTAGATAGTCATGCCAATTGGCGTGTCGAATGTGCAGTCAGAGTACCTTAATGAGGTTGATGACCCAGATCTTTCAAGCCTTCATTGGAAAACTCATAGTCAACGTATAAAATTACGCAATTGGGTATTGAAGCAATATTGGTTCATGAGACGAGATATAAGCTTCAAAAAAGAATGAGGCA